CGGAGGCATGTGTGTGCATGTGCGTGTGCGCATCTGCTTGTGTGTGTGTGTGTGTGTGTGTGTGTGAGAGAGAGAGAGAGAGAGAGAGAGAGAGAGAGAGAGAGAGAGGAGAGGGCGATTGGGAGGGGAGATGAAGGAGTTGATAGATCAAGGATGACACTTGGATTTTAACCTTAGGCAACTCAGAGGGATGACCTGCCCCTCACTGAGCTCAGGTATAAACAGGAAGGAACAGGTTTGTAGACAGGGGAAGATGAAGAGCTCAGTTTCAGGTATACAGGGCTTGAGCTGTTCACGGGATATGGCGGTGGAGGTATCCAGTGGGCAGTGAGTCTTGATGGGGCCAAGATTGGGGATATTTTTCCAAGAGAAGACTTTGTGCACAAGTATACATTCTAGATGACATCAGGAGGCACGAAGTTGGGAACTGAAACTTGTTCCCACTTCTGAAGAGTGCCCAGCTATTTTATAGTTGTTCAGAGCCTATGTGAACTGGACAGCAGCAGCCTTGGCAGGGACATTGGCTTTTTTTGTGGTGGGAACTATTACTGGAGTCAATGATGAGCTCACCTCAAGCTGCTTTGTCAGCAGAACAGCAAGAAGGCAAGGCTGGAAGAGATGTTGAGTCTTCATGCTGACTGCTCTGGATAAACTGCTTCATGGGATTACAAGAGGTGGTTTTAAAGGACACTTGAGAGTTAGGGCAATCAATATGATGGCTTGGGTGGCAGAGAAATCATGGGTAGAGAGAACTGGCCAAGAACAAAACTGACTTCAGGTCTATTGGGTACGAAGAGAGAAAATATAACAACAGAGTGGTGGTGACAGAAGACAGAATGGTGATCTATGGTGTTAACATCTTAAAGAGAATAAGAAGCATGAGAAATGCAAACTCAAGTGAAAATGGTCACAGTGTTCAACACGACCTATGGTGATGGGATCATTCATGTCATTTTTCTGGATTTTTGAAATTGGTGTTCCTAAAACTCATAGTGTGTATGACAGAGCATGTCCCAGCTTCCTTACCAACTGTGCGCTTGCTGACTGCCATCATTCTGAAGAGGCCCGCCTGCCCTTAAACAATTCAGCATTGTTTCCTGAGGGCCCATGTTTGCCTCTTTTGATTTGGGTTCCCTCCTTCAGGTGGAGGCCAGTGGTGTCTTTGCCTTCTTCTCAAGGAGGCTGACTTCTAGGTCCTCCAAAGGTATTTCCAATTGCTTCCCTCTCATTAAAACCTAGCCACCCTGGGCCCCCTGGCTTCCAAGCAAACAGCGATTCAGTACCTAAGGTGAATGGATCTGAAGATACATGCCTAGGGTGTGTCTCTAAAAAGGAGTTTTCAATAGTGAATGACACTGAGAGCGTGTGTTCACAAGAAATTGAGAGTGGAAAAACACAGGAGAATTTCATCGGAAGACAAACAAGTTATTCTGCTAAAGGCCAGTCTGATAAACCTGTTTGAGCAGATCAACTAAATTGTTGGCTGAAAGGTCAAGGTGAAGATGATGTTTACATTTAACTAGAATTTTTTTTCTGTTGTAATCCAAGACCCTAAGTAAGCTGATAAATAGGACATTATAACAAGCAGAGTTTTTGTTTTAGTACAACTCGCCAAGGATTTCTTTCAAAGTAGATGGCCAGGATTTCTTCAAAAGTAGACTCACTTACTTGTGAGTCTGTGCTGTCTTAATTGCATTTCTTTGCTGTTTCTTCCTGCTTCTGCTGCTAGTGGTAATGAGCTCCGAGTAAATGTTTAATGCATATGTTCTGCAATCTCCTAGATTTGACAAACCTTCTTATCAATTATTCTCCCTATGGATTGTCGTTCTGTCTTTATAAGGCAGGCTTAACATTCCCTGCCACCTGCCTAACTTTAGACAGATTTCTTCCTGCCTCTAGACCTCTGGTCTCCCTTTGCTCAGAGCCTTTAGCTTTGGAAAGCTTCCCATTATAAATCTCTACTGGGCTTCTGTGAGATGTCAATCTCCGTTTCTTCCCAGCTTTACAACCCAGGGATGACTTTCTCAAAGACATGGGAGTCAGCCCTTTGACATGTAGTCATTCAAGGAGATCATGTCCTATCTCCCTGTCTCTGCAGTGAGGGAAGAGCCTAACTATTCTCCTGCCCAATTAGCAAATGTGGATGGTAGGCCTAAGCACATTGACCAAACTTCCCTGTAGTCCTCTGGTTATTTTCCACTCGGCACCCTGGTGCTCAAAAACTCTCCTCCAGGGCAGTTGAGGTTGATCTTTCTCTCCTATTGCCACAATCTTGAATAAAGTCCTCCGTGCCTATCTAACTCTGCCTGATGCAATTTTTCTTTCACATTCATAATTTCAAAAGTGAAAAAAAATATCTTTGGCACTTTGTTTTGCTGTCTTAAAAAAAGATCATTACTAGATAAAACTTTATAAGCACCTAGCCTTTTTTGTACTCCCTGTCTAGACATGACAGGTTTCTGGGGTAAGTTACTTTCTAAGTCTCAGTCTTTTCCAACAGTAGTTTTCTTTTCTTTCTTTGGTGTCCTGCTGATAGAGCTGGGGTCACCCATATATTTTTTCAACCACTTAATACATTCTTAATGAGATTATCGTTCTCTTTTTTAAGACAGTCTACCTATCTGAAGTCAATCCTCTCCATTGAAAGCAGTCATTTGTTTTATTCAGTAGATTTCTACCAACTGAGGATGTGCATTGTGGTGATCGAAACTTGTTGTTCAAACTAATGGATGATTAAGGTCAGACATGTTCAGCTGTCTTGGGCTGACAACTAAGTCATTAGTACACCCAGGGAGGAATGATGCATATTTCTTGGGCGGTTTATCTATTCTAATCATTAATGAGGAGAACTTATAAATTATTTAATAAACTCTCCTGACAGTCTGAGAACTCTCTACAAAAAGATAATTAAAATTTGGGAAATGAACACATGGTTTTCCTAAGTCTCTCTCCCTTGAAAAAAAATTTAGAGTTGTTCTTTTTTTTTGTGACTATAAAACTTATGTCCAACTTTCTTTAGTTGAACAATTTTAAGTCACTAGACATTTGCAACATTCCTATTTGTGCCTTGTACTACATAAGGTGCAGAAGGAACTGGGCATTTAAATTCAGATATGGATTTGCAAAAGCATTTCAGTAAAGCACACTTCTAGAATTCTTATGGTGTGCCAGCTGATATAGTCTTTAGTGCTACAAAATAAGTTCAAAAATCTCCCCCAGATTTTATTACCTTCTTAAAGTAAATATTATTTATTTTTTCTGTATCCGACAGGACATTTCTCCACTATGTCCTACTGGTCTATTTTAATGCTTATGCTCCTTTGGATTTTATTTATATGGGCAGTGGCAAGTAGGTGTGCTTTTCTCCTAAAATGTATTTTTTTAACTTTTTCCCTCTTGCATTTTAACTTTCCAGGTATACAATATATTTTCCTTTCTAGAAATTCATTTACTTTTAATTGACAAATAATAGTTATGCACATATGTCAGGTACATTGTGATATTTCAATCTATATATGCAATGTAGAAGGATTTTTCAAGCTAATTAACATATCCAACTCCTCACTGACATATTTTTTTTTTTGGAAAAATGTTAAAAATCTGTTCCTTTAGCAATTTTGAAATATGCAATACATTATTATTAACTGTAGTCACCATGCAGTACGGTAGATCACTAAAATGTATTCCTCTGGTCTAAGATTTTGGGAGGGAGTAACTGGGCTTCTTACCTGTTGGGTTTGTATCTATTTAAAAAAAAATCCCTATTCCAGGTGACTGGCCACATCATAAGTAAAGATTCTGGTACCAAACAAGGCCTAGATAAAACCACAAGGCACTAGATAAAATTGTATTGGAATGTCTTGACTGAAACTCTCAGACTTTATATTCATCTCTAAAAATGGAAAAAGCAAGGAGCATGATTGAGATTCCCTATGTCAGCTTTAATTTTCTTTCCTCTTTGTTAGTTCTAATGATGTCTTGGTGCCTCAGATTTATTGAGAAATGATAAAAAGAAAATCTGAATCTTATTATCTAGGACTTTCCTTTATCTACTCTGACCCTCATTCTTGCCAATCACTTCCCAAGTTCCATAGCAACCTAATTTTTTCCTACTATCTTCTCAGGAAAGGAGGTTGTTCACAACTCAATTTGCTTGTTCTCACTCTTTATGCAGGAGGGAGAAATAAAATAAAACAAAAAACCAATAAAAGAATCACAGGGTTGTTTTTTTGGTAATATTTAATTTGAGACATCTGTTTTCCCTCTAATGTCAAGTTGTTGCTCTTTATGAATAAGAAAAATGTTCTATAAAGGAGATAATACCAATTATACCATGACTATGCATTTACATAAACCAATAGCCTTTATTTAATAGGTTCAACACCCTAGGCTGTAAATACAATCTTGGTTTGGTTTTCCTTGTACAGCAGGTCACCTCTAAGTTTGTTTTGTTTTGTTTTTCTTTGTACTTTAAGAAAACTAGTGTGTAGGACAGAATCCCCCTCTCCACACGAAATCTGAATGATAGCTTCTAGTTTGATCCAGTATTTGTATCTAACCCTTCTTTCTCCTATGAATATATGATATGATTTTGCAGGGAAGACATTAAAGGATGCGTTTCACAATTTTATCTAGTGTCCACACTATACCAGCCACTGTGACAGTGCAGGAAGAGGAACACAGACTTCAAAGTTTAGTGGACAGAATAAATGTCTGTACTAAGCAGTGTTTACCAAGTGTCTCTGGGTATGTGTGTGAATATAAATACATAGGTCCATAAGCTTTTCAAAATGTAAATCTAGAGAGAGTTCAGTAACAAATTTTAACAAATCACTAACTCTTACCTAGTAAGAGGCAAAATGGCCAAATGTATGCTTTATGCATTTTTCTTAAGTTTTAAGGAAAAGTACAAATGCCATAAGGATTAAGTAGTTATTTCCAGCCTTTCCATGAATATTCAATGAAAACTGTAGGGAGTTCCTTAAAAGTTCCATACTTACTCATCTCTGCAAACAGCTGTCTTCTTTCTGCCATGGTATTTCCTCTTTTCCCACTATCTTCAATCATTCTATGATAAAAAACATTGTTAAAATATGCATTATCTTCACATTAATAAGGCAAACAGCCATTTGTATGTAAACACATTTGCTGCATTTGTGCCACAGAGAAAAACTATTTTAAAATTGCAGAGTATTTTAAAATTACAAAGTACAGCTTTACTTTCACTAATCTAAATGGCTGTACGTATTTTTTCATATGTAATGTTTTTGTATTTTGTTGAAGGAGGTATAAAAATTTTATTTCCTAGCATAAAAATTACTACAACAGCAAATGACCTTATGCTATAACTAAATACAACCATAGACCATCTGTTAGGAGATTGATTTAAAATATAGTGTCTCCTTCCATTCTGGGAATATCTATCAAGGCTACTAAGCAGATTTGGTGGCTTCCATTAAATAGCTGATGAGACTGAGAGTCTCATGGACTTGGTGGATGAAAGGCATAGGACCTTTGGACTCTGCGACAAACATACATCCCACCTCTTTCTTCTGCTAGTTGTCCCTAGTACACGCAAACCCTCAACTTAGAAACAGGAAACTTTCTTATGTTCATCTCCAAGTTGGGTGTTCACAAGGTGCAACAGTTTTCCTGCTCATAATAATTTAAAATAAGGTGGTTGGGTTCAACAGTCCTTAACCAGACCATTCTCTGCTGTAGAATGATTTAAAAATACTATTAAAATGATGAAAGTTAAAACAGAGAATAAGAAAAGATATAGCAAATTAAAATTTAGCTTGAGGAAAAGGAAAGTTAATGTAAGTGCTGTCTAGTTGTGTAGTAGGCTTTGGGCTAAATACAGAGGGTATCATAGGTTGGCGGACTTGATTTATAATCATACCTAATTAAACTATTAAAGACTCAAGTTTTCTCTCTCATACATGCATGTCCATATGCACACATATGTATACCACTAAGACTTCTGTTTTGATTCTCAGGCATGGTTAACATAAGGCAGAACTGCATGCATCTTTTTGCTTTTTTTTTTTTTGTATTTGTTCTAATTAGTTTTAATTATACGTGACAGTAGAATGCACTTTGACATATCATACTTATATGGAGTATAACCTCTCATTCTTCTGGTTGAAACTGATGTGGAATCACACCAGTCATGTAGACATATATGCACGTAGGGTAACAATGTCCACTTCATTCTACCATCCTTCCTACTCCAATACCCCCTTCCTTCCATTACCCTCGGCTTAACCCAAAGTAACTCTACTCTTCCCTAGGGGCCTTTCACCACCACTTATTGTGAATTAGAATCCACATAGAAGAGAAAACATTTAGCTGTTGTTTTTTTGAGGGGAGGGAGGAGGATTGGCTTATTTCACTTAGCATGATATTCTCCAGCTCCATCCATTTACTGGAAAATGCCATCATTTCATTCTTCTTTAAGAGTGATTAATATTACATTATGTATATATACCACATTTTCTTTATCTATTCATCTGTTGAAAGACACCTAGGTTGGTTCCATAGTTTAGCTACTGTGAGTTGAGCTGCTATAAACATTTATTGGCTGTGTCACTATAGTATGCTGATTTTAAGTCTTTGGATATACAAAGAACTCAAAAAACATAGCACCAAAATCCCCCCAAATAATCCAATCAATAAATGGGCTAAGGAACTGAACAGACACTTCACAGAAGAAGAAATACAATAGATCAATGAATATGCAAAAAAATGTCCAACATCTCTAGCAATTAGAGGAATGCAAATCAAAATTACACTAAGATTTCATCTCACTCCAGTCAGAATGGCAATCATCAAGAATACAAGCAACAACAAATGTTGGTGAGGAGGTGGGGAAAAAAGTACACTTGTATATTGCTGGTAGGACTGCAAAATGGTGCAACCATTATGGAAAGTTGTATGGAGATTCCTCAGAAAACTTGAAATGGAACCACCATTTTTGTCTGTTTTTTGATGTGTGCTATTCTTTCTCAAATCTAGGTCTTCAGGCATGTTCTTTTTGTGACTGGACTACCTTCAGGTCTCAAGTTTCTCTGAAATCTTTCCCAGCTCAATTTCTGCCTGGATTTGGTGCCTTTCCTCTGAACCTTCACAGGGTGTACAATGCCTTTCTCTTGATACTGAGCATTCACTCCACACATGTTTGTTCCATCCTTCTGCACTCCAAGAACTGTGCTAACCTCTGGGCATACCACAGGTATCAAGTCACAATTTCTGCCCTCAAGGTGCTTACATGATAGGGGAAGAGATACAAGAGCACAAAAGCATTTGAAACACAAGCAGCTGGAGGCAGTCATAGAGGTAGAAAGAAAGATGTGAGGATGAGAGAGGTTGATTTCCTGCAGCTGCATTTAACAGAACGGCAAGCAGAAGCCTTCTCAGAAGTTAATGGACTGTGTATAAAATGACTTATCTGAGAGGAAAAGAATTAGTGTAAAAATGATTTTTATAGTTTATAGATGAGGTGTCCCCCAAGAAGCCCATGTGATAGACACTACAGCAATGTTCAGAGATGAAGTGATTATATTATTAGAGCTGAAGTCTAATCAGTGGATTAATATATTTGATAGATTAATAATTTGCAAGGATTTCTGTACTGAGTGGTGACTGTAGGAAGGTAGGAAGTTCTTGGAGGAAGCTTGCCCTTAGGAGTGACTTATTATCCTCTGTCTCTTTTCTCTCTCCCCACTTCCTGGCTGCCTTGAGTGGCCAAATTTTCTCTGCCATGCCCTCCCACCATGATTTTCTGCCTTGCCTTGGGCCCAGAGCTACGCAGTGGGCCGACTATGGAATGAACCTTTAAAACCATGAGTCAAAATAAACTTCTCTAAAATGTTCTTGTCAGGTATTTTGGTCACAGTATTAGAACGTTGACTAACACAATAATGTTGGCTAAACTGGTCAAATAGCTTCATGTGTTACTTCTAAGGACATATCTATTGCTAAGGAGAGAAAGATAGACCTGGGACAGCCTTTGTTAACAGAATCAGGGGAAGAGTCTACACACATTCATAACAGGTTAGATAATAGAACCAGGGTATAGCCTAGCTAGCAACTGGAAAGGAGGAGAGTTATTAATGATCTTCTTCAATTTGTTAACAACTCACCGCAAAACATGGTCCAATCTTCTTTGGATGAGATTTTTAAATATGCAAGTAGAGTTGACAAATAGAGATGTGGAGAGAAAGTCCCTTTCCTGATACATATCTCCCTATCTCCTTTACTCCATAAGAATTGGGTAGCTAATCACTTGACATCCACAAAATAGTTCGCCATTTAGCCTCTAGTTCAAGGTCTCAGAAGGAAGTTGAGGCAATAAGAGAGACAGGGGATGGAGCCAGTGATGTGTTCTTGTATTTGTCCATATGCTGGTATGAAATGAAAAGAACCATCAAAATAAATCACCAACAATGGCAGATTGGAGCTCTTATTGGGAATATCAGCAAGCTGAAGACTAGCATTTGAGCTCATAGCTCTTACTGCCTGGACAATTTACTTACACTGCTGTGACATCTCTTTACCTAGTTAACGTTGTGTGTCCCTGTAAAGTTTTCAAAAGAGTAGTAACTTCATTAATTTGAAGCTCTTTTTGTGTCTAGAAAAATCCAATCAACAACTGAGGTGACCAGTTAGTATCTATTAATTGAATGAATGAAAGAGGGGAAAAAATACTGGAAGTGGAAAAGAGAGAAAAACAAGAACTAAATTTTCTTTCCATGAAATGGACTTTCAATTAAATATATTTCTAACTTCTGACTCATGAAAAGTGAAATCCAAATTGTACTAGTTTCAAGGATTCATTATTTGAAATGAAAGAAACTAATTTACATTTATTATAATGTAGGATTGTACATTTTTAAAGCAAAATCATGTCTCATGAAATAGAAATTGAAAAAGATGCAAACTGTATGAATGTAGACTTTTGGTCTATTCATCACCATTTTTTGTTAATTAATTCATAAAAGAACCATCATTAGTTATACAATAGGTTTTAATTCTCACTTCTAAGTAAAATGTATACCGTAAGAGGAAAAGAAGGAGGTGTGAAATAGTAGGAGGAGGTGTGAAATAATAGGAGGAAAAAAATACAATTATAAATATAAAAGAAAAAAATAATATACTTCTCATTTTACTCCCAGGAACCTCTGGGGGTTGAGAACACTCATTCATTACTCATTGATCATAGGTATCACAGTAAAAGAAGAGGGGAGCGTACTAGCTTAAATAGGGGGAGTCTTCAACAAAGTGAGCTCAAGGATCGGACTGGTAGGGTCGCCTCTGTGGGCTCCTTAATTGCCAATCTGAGTTTGATCAGTAGATTAAGATACACATTCTTGACTACATTCTCATTACCCAAGAAAGAGAAAAGAATACAATCTTCAGCAGAGGAAGGACTGAGGGGTTTTACAGAGGGCAGTTTTGCTTCTGAAATAATGGAAATTGCCTAGTACCTCTTTTTTTCATGAATTTTTGGTATAACAACTCTTTCTGAAGTCACTTGGGGGAGGTGAAGGGAAAATAAACTCTTTGTAATGATACTAATGTATGTCACATGGGGAAACCCGGTTCAATGGTCATTTTTTTTCTCTCTCCTTTATGTAGATAAGATGCTTACAACCTACAACCTTAGAAATTATCAGAGTATTATATAAATGTCAAAAGAGTGAAAAGAACTAATAGTGATAAATGCATGATGAACCCCTTTAGATGAACTCCTTACTAGAAATCCATCCCACAAATTATACAGGGCATGTGTTGTTCTCAATAATAAGAATTCATCCATTCATTTAAGAAATATTTATAAAGTAACTATAATTTGTCAGACACTCTGTGGCTTTCTCCAGATACAAAGATTAATAAGACAGGATCCTTAAGAAGCTTGCAGCCTAGAGGGGAGAATACATTTTCCTAGTAAATACTTAGTATTTGGTGTAATATATGCTATAATGAAAGCATGTGCTCTTTGATATAATAGTTTGTTTCCAGGAAGATCTGAGAGAGACATCAAAGAGAAGGAAATTCTGGAACAGA